CCTGCCTGACCCGGAGGCTCCCAGCGGCTCGAAATTCACTGCTCTCGCGAGATCTTCGAAGATCCGGTCCGAGCGCGCCGCTTTCGTTTGTTGCCACGGCAACTGGGAGGCGCGAGTGCCCGCGGGAAGGAGGCGCCCACATTCCTCCCCGCGAGCCCAGGGGATTGGGAAGTGGCCAACCCTGAGCTCCCAGCCCCGGAGGCCTCGAGGCCATGGGCCGGATCTCGGGGCTCGTGCCCTCCCGTTTCCTGACGCTCCTGGCGCACCTGGTGGTCGTCATCACCTTATTCTGGTCCCGGGTAAGACCTACGACCGCCCTCCTCCCGCCGCATCCCCACTCGGGGTGGTCCCTGCCCGGCCCCGCCTCTCCCCCAGGACCTGACCAGTCGGGTCCTCACACCCCTATTTTACTTTCCATTCTCTTTGCCCGGCTCGCTCTCCAGGACAGCAACATCCAGGCCTGCCTGCCTCTCACGTTCACCCCCGAAGAGTACAGGAAGCAGGACATGCAGTGAGCACTTTGGGTGGGAGTGGAGGGGCCTTAGGAGAAGCCCAGACGCCTGAGCCCACCCCCTTCCTCCCCGCAGGCTGGTAGCAGCGCTCGCTGTCACCCTGGGCCTCTTCGCAGTGGAGCTGGCCGGTTTCTTCTCAGGAGTTTCCATGTTCAACAATACCCAGAGCCTCATCTGTATCCTTTCCCACAGGGCCCATTTCCATCACGCACCCCCTCAGCCACCTAACGAGCACTTTGGGGTACAATAGTGTCTGCCCTTGCAGGCAAATAGAATCTCTCCAGTTGAGAGATCGTCTTAGTCAACGCAGATTGAATACAATCCGCAATCATTTGTCAAGCTCCTGCTATGCACCAGGCAATGGAGATCCCCAAATGAGAGAAAGCACAGTTTTCTACCTTGAAGAGGAGGCAGACCCTATAATTCAGTGTGATAAGCACTGGGCTATAGGAGTGTGTGAACATATAAAGTGTGGGGAGCCGGCACGGCCATGGCATACTCATGCCAGCTCAGCCTGGTTCAGCGACCCTGAGTGGGGGCAGTGAGAGGCTTAGAAAAGACAGACAAGAGAATGAAAGCTGGGTCTGGGTGGGACGCTGCCCCTCTGATGGACAGCGCCAGTGCCCACAAGCCGTGTCTTTATTTTATAGCGGATCCCAGGAGGCAAAGTAAGGGCGTGATCAAGATGTTTACAACATTCTGGCGGGTTTCAATCCCACTCCACTACATGCACCTGAACTATATCACTCAGGCACGTGGGGCCACGTGTTCGGACCACAGATTCAAGCTTACAGCTATAGCTGTTGGCTATAATTGTGCCGCAACTAGAGGACTGTGCCCTCTTCTCAGTACAAGGCTTGAACCTGTCCAAACACTGTAGCTGCGCCCCATAATAAAGCACTATGGGAACTCAGAAGAGACAGAGGAAGTGAGGAAGATGGATCAGAGAAGGCTCTTGACAATTGAATTGTGGGCCAAGAGGACCAGGGCGCTGGTGGGTGATTCCAGCAGAATGTATCAGGTCACTGTGAGCAATCTTGTGTGGCCTGGGGTAGAGGGGAAGCCTGTTCCCACCTCATCTGAAGAGTCCAGGCTGGCCCCTAGATATGCAATGGGGTACCCTGGAGGCCCAAATGTGCAAGCTCAGTTCTGGCCTCATGGCTCTCCTAAAACTCAGAAGGCAGGTCTGCTGGCTCTGGCCTTTGCAGTTGTTGAGGGAGCAAGAAGTGACCCTGAGAGAAAAGGCCTTTTCTGGCCCATCACCACCTGTTGATTCAAAGGTTTTCCTTGACTCAGGTGCGTTATCAAGCCATCGGGGCTCACTGTAGTGCATCTGTGGCCCTCTCCTTCTTCATATTTGAGCGCTGGGAGTGCACCATGTACTGGTACATTTTCGTCTTCTGCAGGTACAGTAACAGTCAGTGTTTGGGGGTGGGGGAAGAAGGTTTACTCTAAATTTGAAGGTTTACTCCACAGGTGAGATACCAGATCCACTCAAGCTCCTGTAGCCTTTTGAAGTCCTGCCCCACCTATACTTTGGGGGCGGGGTGTCTGGCTTGGGGATTTGGGGATTTTTATTGGAAAGGGCCCTAAACCTACCACCTACTTCCCACAGTGCCCTCCCGGCTGTCACTGAAACGGCATTATTCATCAGCGTCTTTGGGCTGAAAAAGAAACCGTTCTGATTACCTTCATGAGAGCATGAAGAAAGGCTGGAGGAGCATTCGCTGTTCCTGAAAGGAGGAACCCCGCCCCCCCCCCAACTCCCCCTAAAATGGCATTTGGTGGAGGATGTTAGTGTTAGAGTAATTAACTGTCGAGTCTGGGATTTATTAGCGTTTTATTTAGAGCTTTGTAATTAAATCCTATTTTAGAGTAACCTCAAAACTTATAAAAATTTCAGGGGAAAATTGGTGTAGCCAAACTACTAGAGAAACGGAAGGCTGTTTTCCAGCCTTGCAGACGGGGAGATAATATGTACCGCTTTTATCGTGGTTATTACGGTAAACGGCGGAAGGGAGTGGGCGGAGATATGTAAATCAGTGGTACTAACGGCTAAGACTGCACGCTCGCAAGCGGAGCATTCTGGGAGAATTTAGTTTATTCCTTTTGGTTGCCAAATGGAAAAAACATAGTATTTAGAAAGATCTGAAAATAAATGTAGCAACAGAAAAGGAGGGATCTGAATAATTTTAGTGCTCAGGCTAACGTGTTATTTCTCACCCTATGTCATCGTGGGATCCCTTTCATGGAGTCCCGAGTGCGCAGAGATCGCGTTTATCGTCAGGTAGGATAATCCTTACCTGTCCCTCCTTTTGGAGGGCAGATTGGAACGTGATGATTGGAGATCGCATGATTCGTGATTAACGTCTCTGCGTGATCAGGACTTGCAACACCCTGATTGCTCCTAATCTGATTCTTCCTGACGATCTTCCCCCTTTATGCGTTCGTAGTAGGGAGTTACTTGCCAGGATGTTAAGCGTTTGATTTCCACACCCTTGCCTTGCTGTGGTGTTTCACAGCGTATTTTGTATCTGACCTCCAAGTTTTCGCTATTAATATTTAAAAGAAGCAGCTTTGGAAAACTTGAATGAACAAAGAATCGTTTTGTGTTTCTTTAGTTTTCTATAAAACGGTAATGTTGACCGTCGTTGGTGTCACAGTTGGTCTATTCTCTAACCTTCTACCTCACTATAGCAAGAAAGGCCACCTGTTCAACGGGGCTTTTCCTGGTGGTTGGAGCTCCCACCCTGAAACCTGGCAAACTTGTTCCCAGGGGAGCAATATCCCACCTCTGCCTGCCAGCACATGGCAAGAACATGTTTAAAAGGTTATTAAAACACATATACCGATTAAGTATTATACATACAAACTACAAAAGTTGTAACTTGTCACAAGATAGATGCTTCCTGGTTTGGTGTATGTTGGGAAGATGGAACCAGGGCATTCTAAAAAATCTAAAGGCATCCTAAAAGATGCTTTCTGGTGTTGCCTCTCAGGTGCTGCCTCACACATACATAACCTTTCGCTGTCCATATTTCTTTCCCCTGGCAGCCCTTCATCTTGAGCATGCAGTCAGTGAATACTTATTGAGCACTTACATTCAGTACACTGTAATAGGTACTCCTGAGGGAATCCATGTGAATATGACCATACTCAGCCTGGGCCATCACAGCTATTAAGACTCATGGAGCCCTAACCGGTTTGGCTCAGTGGATAGAGCATCGGCCTGCGGACTGAAAGGTCCCAGGTTCGATCCCAGTCAAGGGCATGTACCTTGGTTGTGGGCAACATCCCCAGTGGGGGGTGTGCAGGAGGCAGCTGATTGATGTTTCTCTCTCTCTCATCAATGTTTCTAATTCTCTATCCCTCTCCCTTCCCCTCTGTAAAAAAAAAATCAATAAAATATATTTTTAAAAAAAAAGACTCATGGAGACAGAAAAGAAACAATATTCTATAAGTCCAGAGTCATTTAATAGCAATTAGTTGTAAGTGCTACAAAGGAAACTTACTCATGCTGAGGAGTGGGAATCAGTTTGCCCACAGTAGCAGGTGCTGCTTCTATAGCTGCCACATCTCCTTTGTTCCTCGGTATGTTCACTGCCTCTCCTTTCAACACCAGTCTTCATATTGTGAGCCTTCCCTGGCATCATGATCCTCCTTTCACTTTGCTTCCTTCCTTGGCAGTTTGACTTTGAGAGTTTTCTCAAATAGGTTACTCAGTAGTCAGGGCCCAAATTTCTTAGCCTAGAAGCTCTTCCAGTTGTAATCTGTATTAGTTATAATGTAATTTTTGATCTCATACTCTTTAAGGATCATACCAAAGAAGAACTGGATGCGTGGAAGATTGTTCGAGTTAGTGAAAATTTCCGAGTGATTGCTTTGGGCTTGCCAGTGCCTAGGTACTCTGGGAATCCATTAGACCCCCCTCTTCGTTCTCGATTTCAAGCCAGAGATATTTATTATCTACCCTTCAAGGTAAGTATGAACAGGATAATTTATTTTTTAAATAGTTTTTCTATTCGTAATAAATTCACTTACTATGGAAATGTTACTATGTTTGTAGATGTCCTTCTCACTAGCTAATGGTAAGGAAAAAGGATATAGGGTGAAGAAGTATTACATATGTCTCCTTTACCCCCATTGACTCCTCCCCTGCCAATCCCACCCCCCAGCACATGCCCTCACCCCCCTACTGTCTGTGGCCATTGGTTATGCTTATATGCATGCATACAAGTCCTTTGGTTGATCTCTTACCCCCCTCTATCCCCCTTCCCCTGACTTCCCTCTAAGGTTTGATGGGGTTGCTTCTTGTATGTGACCTGACTGGGAACTGTAATTAAATCCTATTTTAGAGTAACCTCAAAACTTATAAAAATTTCAGGGGAAAATTGGTGTAGCCAAACTACTAGAGAAACGGAAGGCTGTTTTCCAGCCTTGCAGACTGGGAGATAATATGTACCGCTTTTATCCTGGTTATTACGGTAAACGGCGGAAGGGAGTGGGCGGAGATATGTAAATCAGTGGTACTAACGGCTAAGACTGCACGCTCGCAAGCGGAGCATTCTGGGAGAATTTAGTTTATTCCTTTTGGTTGCCAAATGGAAAAAACATAGTATTTAGAAAGATCTGAAAATAAATGTAGCAACAGAAAAGGAGGGATCTGAATAATTTTAGTGCTCAGGCTAACGTGTTATTTCTCACCCTATGTCATCGTGGGATCCCTTTCATGGAGTCCCGAGTGCGCAGAGATCGCCTTTATCGTCAGGTAGGATAATCCTTACCTGTCCCTCCTTCTGGAGGGCAGATTGGAACGTGATGATTGGAGATCGCATGATTCGTGATTAACGTCTCTGCGTGATCAGGACTTGCAACACCCTGATTGCTCCTAATCTGATTCTTCCTGACGATCAATCCCCTTGTCTTGCATGGGCCTTGGGGAGGTGCTCGTTAGGGTGTTAAGCGTTTGTCTTCCCCCGCCCTCCCTTGTATGATGATTGAAATTTGTTTTGAGAGCTAAGTTTTTTAAACTTAAAGTATATACATAGGTACATTGTTATTAACTTAATTAGGGTACTCCTAAGGCTTAGAAAGAGCCACACTCAAGGGGCCAAAGAGCCGTGTGTGGCTCGAGAGCCACATTTTGCCGCAACCAGGCCAGAAACACTATTATATACTCTTAAGATTATTTACATTTATTGTACCTGTATGGTAGAGATACTATGTAACGTTTTACTACTGCGTATCTCTCCTTTTTTATTTAGTAACATCTGATTGACAGTTTGAACTTGAGCCTTGGCCAGGTTGCTCAGTTGGTTAGAGCATGATCCTGATATGCCAATGTTTCAGGTTCTAGTCAGGGCACATACAAGAAGCAACCAATGAATGCATAAATAAGTGGAACAAAGATCTCTCTCTCTCTCTCTCTCTCTCTCTCTCTCCCCCTCCATCCCTCTCTCTCTCTTTCCCCCCAACAAGAAAGAAAGCGAGGAAGAAAGATATAAATTGGCCTTGGTGGGAATATTTACAACACAGAAATTGGCAAACACAACATACCAATTGTTGATTATGTAGATTTAAGAAAGCAATGGAGAAATGTTAATAATGCAGATTCTATTTAGAAGTGTCATGTCTATAACTGTTGCATTGTGAATAACACAAAAATTGAGGAAATATTCTTCCAGGATTTATAAACTATTATCAGATTTGTCTAGTGTTTTCTCATGTTTAGATTGAGATTATGCATTTCGGACAAGAATAACAAAGAAGTGACTCAAGTCACTGAGGAACCAGAAGTTTCAACATATCTTCATTGTTTCACTTTTTGTCTTACTTGAAAATGGAAATAAAAATATCAAACAACATTCATGTTGAAACTACATAAATGGATACAACTCCATTTATAAAATCATGGATATGAAAGTGGAATATAGAATAAAGAATATTGTATATTTTATTTGTGCATTCTGTTACATATCCGTTATATCAGTGAAATTTGTAATAAACTTATGTTCATTCATAAGTGGACACTTTTTTTGAAAGTTGGTTGTTAACATTTGCCAGCACACTCCTGCCCTACCATCCCACAAAACTACTCATCATTAATTACTCCCTTGTGTCTAAAACCAGAGGTCACTTTTCAGACTTTATTTTTTAAATATATTTTTATTGATTTCAGAGAAGAAGAGAGAGGGAGAGAAACATCTATGATGAGAGAGAACTGTTGACCAACTGCCTCCTGCACATCTCCTACTGGGGATGGAGCCTGTGCCCTGACATGACCGGGGGAACTATGACCTCCTGGTTCATAGCTCAACACTCAACCACTGAGCCGTATGGGCCGGGCACTTCTTAGACTTTAGCTTGACCTCTTTCAGCATATAACATGTTGACTACTCTTCTCTTTTGAAAAATTTTTCTCCCTTGACTTCTGAAAATTGATTCACCTGGTTTACTTCCTATTGACTACTCTTCTCTTTTGAAAAATTTTTCTCCCTTGGCTTCTGAAAATTGATTCACCTGGTTTATTTCCTACTGTTCTGGCTGCTCCTCAGACTCATCCAGTGAATACTGATTGAGGACCTGCAGTGTATCAGTCATTGGGGACATAATACTGGTTTCTCCTTTGCGCTTGTCCCTTAAATGTTGGTGGTCACTACTCCTTGGTTGACTTCATCTGCCTCTTGTCTTCAAACACCAACCAGATGCTGCAGGTTTCCAAGTCTTGGCTCTCTTATGTGAGCTCTAGCCCAGGGCAAAAGCTATGGGAGCAACTGAGGGTTCAAAGTGCACCCTCTATCCTTGGCCGTGTGATCAGCAACAGGTAGGTCACTTAAGCTCTCTGTGCCTCAGTTCCCTCACACACACTCCAGAAGTCGCTACTACAGTAGCTACTAAAGCGCTTCAACTATTTGTTTCTTAGTCAACACCAGAAGCTTTGCCAATTAGCATCAGAAATAGGTTTCCAGCCCTGCCGTGCTGGCTCAGTGGTAGGGCATTGACCTATGAACCAGGAGGTCATGGTTCAATTCCCAGTCAGGGCACATACCTGGGTTGCAGGCTTGGAGGGTGTGCAGGAAGCAAACAAT